TCTCTCTCTCTCAGGTCAACGACTGTGAGCCGGGCGTCATGTGGTTGTCGTTTTGTTCTCTGTCAGGTCAACGACTGTGAGCCGGGCGTCATGTGACTGTCGTTTTGTTCTCTGTCAGGTCAACGACTGTGAGCCGGGTGTCATGTGACTGTCGTTTTGTTCTCTGTCAGGTCAACGACTGTGAGCCGGGTGTCATGTGGTTGTCCGGCCTCCACATCCCAGAGTCGTACCTCACGGCGCTGGTGCAGGCCACGTGCAGGAAGAACGGCTGGCCCCTGGACAAGTCCACGCTCTACACGTCGGTCACTCACTACCTGCACCCTGATGACGTCACAGAAAGGACCTTGACCGGTGCGACTTTTTGTTTTTTAAATGTTGGCGGTTTTTTTAAATCGCTTTTTGTTTGTGGTTGGTGGTTGTTGTCTGCCATTCTTGTGGTTTCTGTTTCTGCTTCTGTTGTTGCTGCAGTTGTTGCTGTTGTTGTTGTTGTTGTTGTTGTTGTTGTTGTTGTTGTTGTTGTTGTTGTTGTTGCTGCAGTTGTTGGTATTGTTGTTGTTGCTGCAGTTGTTGCTGTTGATGCTATGATTGCTATTGCTAGTATTGTTCTTGATATTGTTAAGTTCTTCAGACACAGAACAATTCATGTTAAGGACAGAGAACGCAGTTTTTGTTGTTGCTGTTGTTGTTGTTGTTGTTGTTGTTGTTGATGCTGCTGTTGTTGTTGTTGTTGTTGCAGTTGTTGTTGCTACTGTTGTTGATGTTATCGTTGCAGTTGCTGTGCTAGTTGTTGTTGTTGTTGCTTTTGTGGCTGTTGCTATGATTATCGTTGCTAGTCTTGGTCTTGATATTGTTGCTATTTTAAGATATATCGGGCACGGAACAATTCATGTGAGGAGGATTTGGCTACTCCAACGGAGGACACAGCGAAATGGCGGGATTTGGGGGATATCTTAAGGGGGGGGGGCTACACCTGGAGGCTATCTCGCTGATTACTGGACCGAATTTTACCAAATTTCCCACATATAACAAGCATAGTAAGGAGTCTTAAAATCTGCAATCAAATTTGAGAAAAAAGTTT